GCAGAAGGGTGGGCGGGGCTCCAGCGCTGGCCCCGCCCCGGGGGTAACCGGCCCAACCCCACCTCCCCTTGGGCGAGTGAGCCTGGCGCCCACCTCGCGGTCTGAAATGCCCGCTCTGCGCCTTCTAGCCAATCCCAAATCTTCCTCCGAGAAGCCCCCGCTCCGGAAAGCGCTCGCCCTAAAACTGTGTCGGCCTACCCCTTCCAGGACCGCTATCCCCCGGCGCGGACTTTGGGGGACGAAAGGGACACCACCTGTCCCCTACACACATCTCGAGACATGCTGTCCCCTACTCCAGCCCTCCCCAGAGGGGGAAAATGCCCCACTAAAACCGCTCCGCACGTGACAGCCCCGCATCGGCGACTTGAAAGCCAGCAAACTGCCGCCTCCAACCTCCCGCGGAGGCCAGAGACTTGGGATGCGTCGCTCGAGGCCCGGCACGGACGCCTCCGGCAGGGCGGACACTGCCGCGCAGAGCCAGTGATGAATAAATGAGTAACTGCATCAATATTTAAGCGTTCACTCCCAGCTCCCAGCGCCTTGGCTCCTGAGTCATGGGTTGGGGGCTTTAAATAATTACTGACACCCATTATTGAGTGCCTACTATGTGCCGAGTCCTGGGTCGTGACTGCACGCCTGGTGTATTATTAGTAATGATAATGTTTAATAATTATAAATGCTGAATTTCAGCCAACACCAGCCAATGTGCTTTATATACATTACCTCATTTTATACTCAGGGCTACCCTGTGGGTTATGGTTTTAATCCCTTTTTTTCCAGAAGATAAAATTCATTTTAAGTAAATTTGCCACCCATAACTGAAGATGGGATCTGAATCCACCCAGTTGCCCCTAAGGCCTTAATTTTTTTTTCTTAATTTTTGGAACTTGTACTTTTAATACAATAATTTTAAAATAAAGCATAATAGACACAGTTTTTTTAAAACCAAAATAGGTCAGCAAGGCTTATGAGGAAAAGCATAACCTCCTTCTCCACCCCTGAATTCAGGGGTGCCACTTAAAGCCATTTGTGTTTTCAGGCAGTTGCCCTCAAGTGGCTGTGTAAAATGCTTATGTAGCTACTACATCTGGACTTACCCAGGATGGCCTTTATCTGTTGCCTTCCTGCTATGATAGATAATGATTTTAAATGGCTGACATCCACTTCCCTCTCTCAATCTTGCGTAGTTATGCTATTATTTTTCATTCATCTTTTTGATATGATTAGAGCAGAAGCTTTCATTTCTTCTTAGCCAGACTCAACAATATGCCTTGACTTTCTACTCCCCGTGCCATATCCTCCACCAGGAATACCCATGCAGGAAACCAACAGATCTAGTAGAGGAGAACCAGTGGATCACAGCCCTAATTCCCACAGCCTCCTCGTACCTGTCAACTCAGAAGACTGCTGTAGGGAGACCTGGGCTCTGGCTCTCAGTTTTCTGACTTAAATATGTTCTCATCTGAAAATTGAAACAATGATTTCTGCTTCAAACAACTGCTAGGATTATACAAGCTGTCAAGTTTCCATCAGGTGGAGATCATCACAAATGATCCCATGGCTGAATGCAATACCTATCTGTGGCAAACAAAACTAATACAATTAAAAAACAAATTGGGGGCCAGGGATTTAGCTCAGTGGTGGTGTTGCCACCAAACAAACAAACAAAATAAACAAAAAACAAATTGGATGGATTTGTAAGTAAAACATCTGAGTTATTTATAATAAAAAATGAGTCCAAGGTATCTGATTATCAAATACAACTTTTTCTGACTATAAAGTTAATTGGGAAGATACAGAAAAATATAAGGAAAATAAAAATAAATCATAATCCTACCATTCAGAAACACGCAGTTAACATTTTGTAATATTTCTTTTCAGTTTTTACACTAATGTGTTATTTGGTATCCACTATGGTTTTAAGGCAAGTAGAGTGTGAGGCTTGTACCTGTGGGCTCTGGAGTCTCAGTTCTATCATTTGCTTCCTGAGTATTATCTCATTCACCCCTGAAGACCACCATTTGCTGTTCCCTCTAATGCTGTTTCCTCAATTCCACGGTTGAGGGAACTGAAGCAAAGAAAGCTTACGTAATTCCCCCCAAATTGCCAATTGGAAAATTGCAAAGACTGTGAAACAGAAGAAAAGTTCTCCATGCTCCCCAAGAGCTCCTTGTAGTTTCCTTCCTTGGCTTCCCCCAAAGATTTACAGCCAGCTCAGCTACATCAGACTCCCTAGTGCCACTTTGGGAGACAATTGCTTTGGCTGCAGTCAGATCTGTCCCAGAAGATTCTGCCTTGCAGCCTCTCCGAATGACTCTACCCTCTGCAGCCCTCAGGTTCATGAAGGGCCAATTCCCTATCTGTTGCAAGCACATTAAAATAGAGTAAGGGTCGTGAGTAGATGAGGTAACACAAATATAAATTTTCTGAACGTATGGCTTTTGTATACATCAACTTATATAGCAAGCAATTATTTTATAAGGTATATAAAAACAGGTATAAGGTCTTGATCTCTGCTATTTATATGAATATGAGATTAAATTGAGTTTAAGTTATTTATTGAACAAAAGTTTGGGTTTGATTGAGATAGGCTGGGAGAGCACTCCATTTTTTAATGTTTCTTGGGGTGATTTTCTTTATTTAGCAGGGCTTTTGTAGCATCTATATCTCTTGAGGCTGGAGTATGTGGCTTGTGAGTGAACTTAGCCTTTCATTAGAGATGACTGTGTCTGATTCACAGCTCTGTGTTGCCTCTTTATATGTGGTTTTGTTTTGTCTTATTTTGGTAATTTTTACACATCTTATCTGTCACTCTGGTTGTGATAGTTGGGCCATCTTTTTGGCACAGCCAATCAGTTCTTTTAGGGGAGTACTGCTCTCTTAGAGTTTTGAAAACTCTTCACCTCAGCTGTCAGCACACTGTGACATCATTGCATTCTTGACATGAATGACACCATGTTCCTTGCCCATGACCAAACAGAAAACCTGACACTGCACATGCACTTTTATTCCTATATAAGCAAACTCCCTATATCCTTAGCAGGGTCAGTCTGCACTGTTCCCCCTTTTGTTTCAGACTAGGTTCTAATAAAGCTTCTTTCAGATGTCTTATTTTTGCCTATCCATACCTTCTGTATCCAGAAAAAAGCAGGTACACTAGGAGCTAGTAATACCAAAGGGCACTGGTGCCAAAAGCCACCAGCAGCCAGGACTATTAACCCTGAAAGTGACTAGCAGAGGAGAACTACAGGGAGCAACAGAAAATTGCCAGGACCTACCATTTCCAGTGGCCAGAAATGTTCCCCAGTTTGGCTTGCTCTGAGCAGCAAGAAGGGTGGCTAGCACTAACAGAGCTAACAGATAGCCACTGGCATTCAAAGCTTATAACATTGAAAAAGCTACACTTTGCCAATTTATGATTTTTGTAGGAACTAAGAATCCTCAGATGATTAGTAACAAGTATCTTAGAAACCCAGATGGGAATCCTCCCCTTTAGAGGGCTCTAAAGAAGAAGATAGACAACGGTGATATCCATTAGCAGGCTCAAAATCCAGACCATGTCTGATTTCCATCTTACTTGAACCTAAGAATCCATGCTAGCTAGTGACAACTGGACTTGAATTCAGTCCTCAAGGACTTTCCTGACTGGCACTCCGCCTTCACACCAGCTTACTGGTCATCTAAGCACTACTATACCCATTTACAGTCAACAAAACAGGAAGTGTTCTCATACCCCTTTAATAGATGAAGCTGAAGTATGAAGAGGTTAACCAATTACCCAAGGTTACAAAGTCAGGATGAAGTCCTTGCTTTAAGAGTAGATTCCCTGGGCCAGGGATTTAGCTCAGTGTTGCCTTGCAGGCATAAGGTCCTGAGTTTGATCTATGGTATGGAAAAAAAGAAAGAAAAGAAAGAAAAGAAAAGATTCCCCCAGGGGCTTCACAAATGAAGATATCAACAAACTTCAACTAAATAAATTTGTCAGGCTTCTTCAATGATCTGTTTCATGTTTGCCTGTTCTCCGGCATGACAGCTTCCACCTCCCTCCCTCTTCTTCTTCATGGAGGAGTAGCAAGGTTCCAGGAAGGGCAAATGAGAGCTCTGATGGGCTTCTTTGCCTCTTTCCTCCTTCCTCCTGCCCTGGCTCACACAATTTGGCAAGTTCAAGTTTCCTGCTGGCTTGGGATTTTAGTTATAGGAGAATAATAAAGCCAGGCAAAAATCCCCTGTAGGTCACTTGGCCTTAGGAGAAAAGAATGGGTCTACCAGCTGTCTGCTGTTGGGAAAAGTAAAAATTACAGATGGTGAAGTTTCAGCTGCCTCAGTGTATGTGTCCCCCTGCAGAAGATGAGGCAGC